ATGACGAATTTCACGGGTTTTGCGCCGACAAACCCTTTTCCTCGGCGCTCCGGGTTTCGCACCGCGGGGATCTCCGTCGCCGCACGCCAGCGCTCCGCGGGACTCCGTCGCTGCCGGCGAAAGCCCAGCAGTCTCCTACCCCCCCCCCCCCCCCCCAGGAGGCCGACAGAAGGACGCGTCTGCCCTCGGATCTGCTGCGGCGCGGTGCTGCCTGTGTTTCCTGCGAGACGGCGGCGATTGCGTGCGTCGGGCGGTCCAGCAGACGCCGCCCGCGGTAAGGCACGTGCGCCGCACCAGAAAAACGCGCGGCTCTAACGGACGCCCATACGCCCCAACACGCTCAGACGGCCCAATCCATTCCGGCGTTCGGGTAAATGGGCTGGCGTTTATTGGTGTGTGCGCCGTGCGGCAGGTGGTGAGACGGTGGTGGGCGCCGCGGACCGGTCACGGCGCATGCGCACAGTGGCTGCAAACGCCTCCACGCCGCATATCGCGCGGCACGCACAAGCTTTTTCCCCGGCGGCACGCTTTCGGTCGGCCGTTGCCCCACAATCGGTGCTGGCACAGTGCCGGCTAATTGGCGTGACGGCTCGTGCATCTGTATCGCGGTTTCCGCAGTTCGAGCCCACAACCAGCCGCGGTCCCAGGCACCGCCCAGGGTCGGTTGGCCCACATCTCGTCCACTCAACCGAACCGGCACACTGCCGCACAGTGTGTAGAAACCAAACTCAGGAACCAGTCGCCAGACATCGATGTTCGTTGTGCAATCGCCCAGTATCTGTCCCATTTGCTTGTCTCTATCCCTCCCGGGGCTGCGAGGCACATTTATGGGGACCAAACCTGTCCTTATCTATTTTCCAGCGCTTCAGAACCTTGCCATGAGTTTGGGAGACGCCTGGAAGGTTTCAGTCAGCTTGGCACGGCTCATGGCTCGTCGATGCTTCAGTCAGACAGGCTCAGTCGGGGTTCCGTGCCCGGCAGGTCAGTCACAGTCAGTGAGCCAGGCAAGCAGATCAACGGCAGTGCCATGGAGAGGCAGAGACCACTTTGGCACCGTACAGATGACCACGAATCAGCCGCAGACGACGTCTCCTGGTTCCATGTCGGTACTGAATGACGCGGCTGAAGTTATCAAACATCGGGCAGTGGATTGGCGTGCTTGTCTGGAGAGCGCGGCTGCGGTGGAGGTCGCTGGACGTCCCTGCGCTGGCTGCGCCCAGTTTCTGTGTTATTAGTGGGCCGTCTCGCTGCTTTGTATTCCTGCGCCGTTCCCAGCCAACAATCGATCTCAGATATCAGAAAGATCGTACACTCTGATGCCTTATTCATCCAAAGGCTGTTCAAAAAGCAGGTCACTAGCGCGTTAGTCACAAGAGTTGCTTATAGATTGCTCCCAGTGTCATTGAGCGTCCCGTCGTCTGTGATGCTGGATCGGCTGTCACCACGACCAACTGAGTTCCAGGGCCGTAATGCTCACGCCGCAAGTATCCGGGCCGTCACCATACACGGCCATTACGACTGGTGCGCCACAGCGGAACTCCCCGGTGTTCAAACCCATTCACTGCACCGTTATGGAGTTCGCCGGAATATGTCCGCACAAAAACCCACGAGAGCCGGCCGGAAACCAGCTAGCTGAGGATATGTGCATTGGACCTGTTAGTGTCTGGCCTCTTGGACTAGTTCGCTTTATTTGGTCCACTTTAAAGCCACTTCTCTCCATGCAGAGGCGAGAACAATGACGGCGTCAGCCTGGCCCAACAAGTACTGGGCTCGTTCCGAGCGGAGTCGCCCGCTCCTGCTGGACCCGCCGCCGACAGCGCGGCCCGACTACTCGTCCGCGAGCGGCGCTGACCGCCTTACCGGGCTTATCCCCTGATCAGCGCTGGCCCAAATCCGCGACGAGGAGCGCTCGTCGCTTCCGGGCGGCTTCCGACCGGCGGCGGCAAGCCTGCCGTGGGAGCCGGCCCGCCTCGTGGCACGCCGAGCCGGGACGGGCCGGGCCGGGCCGGGCCGGGCGCGGCCGCCGCCGCCGCGACAGCACCACACCATATGGACGGCGCGGCAGACGCTAACGGGCCTCCCGTTCCGCCGGAACGGGCCGGCCGGACGGCGGTTCTGAGCGCCACGGGCCGGAGTACGCGGACCACAGAGGGACATCCGGCGTCAGGACGAGAGAGGAAGGCATGGATCGGACGCGGACTGGACAACAGAGCTGCCCCTCCCCCTCCCTCCCCCCCCCCGGCGCCAGACCCGACTGGCGACTGTGGAGGGCCCCCGACACACCTCACCTGCAGCGTCAGTTTAACTTGGTCAGTCGGCATTGGTATTTCGAAACAACTCTACATGATATCGATGGTAGTTCATGAACTACGGATGAAGCATTCCGCATCTTTGAGGGATTTGATCCCGACCCTCTCCCAATGTTTCAGAGCTTTTGCATGGGCCTATGGGCGCTTGTGGACCAAAATCGTCTTCACGTTGTAAATCTCAGACGACCTCGAAACGATGCTAGGTTAAGAAACAGCCAGTGTACCCAGCCAAACCAGTGTCCGCACGATGAGAAAATATACTATTCACCTTCAGCGATGCAAGGTTATGTTGCAATGCAGCGAAATGTCATAGTGCAATGTCGCACATATTTCACCGATTTTGTTCATGGGATCACAGCTTAGTCGTAAACACAATGTGTTATCTAACTCCTAGGCACGCCAGGTCCTTGTTTAGACCACCTCGGTCTGACTGATAGTACATCTGCCGTGAAAGCTCCGCATAAAGACGCATTAGACCTTGATCCCCATCTGTACCAAGGGAGTGGCACACCGGATGCAGACCTTATGCTCGGCGGGCCCCTGAGCGTGACGCTTCGCCACGATCGAGGCGGGCCCCTGAGCAGGACACCTCGTCACCGTCGAGGCGGCCCCTGAGCGTGACGCTTCGCCACGATCGAGGCGGGCCCCTGAACGGGACGACACGTCACGAGGCGGCGTCTTCTACGATCGGACGATCGGTTGTAATGACACCCAACTACCGCTGGTTACGTTTGTTTGGAGTAAGAACGCAGATACTTGCTTACCAAAATAACAACGGATCGTGGGCTGTGATGACTGATCTATGTGTGAGAGGCAGAGGAATGGTGCGGAAGGTGGGGCTTCGGTCAATGACGCAACATCTTAATTAGGGACAAGGCATTTGCTACTGACCGTGCACGAGCTAATTGATTTCATTGGGTATATATTTCAAGTCCTCGATGTCCTTCGCTCCGGGCCACCATTGAACTTATGTTTATTGTGTATCAATTTTAGCCACCATGCAAGACTGACATACAAAATGCATGTACTACCTTTCAGTCAGCATGGAAGAACAAAATTGAAGAAAATATCTAAGACTACGCCCTGGCGCCGCCGTCAACAGCCCTGTCATCTAAACATGAACGATAATCAGATTGGGCGCGTGAACTATTCTGAGGTTCCAGCGGCTCCAAACAGCCTGAACAACCGATCCAATTTGCGTCCAAGCCCTCCTTGCCCAGTAGTTTTCGACTGTTTGGTTTCCAGCGTGCTCTCTTTGGCCGACATTATACATAGCATTAGTCTATCCTTTACGGAACTTCGTCACCACGTTGGCAGCTTTGCCTCGTGAGCCATCCAAGCATTCCCATCTTGTAATACAAGGCTGGAGGAAGAGGCGAGAATGGTCACCTTATCTTCCTATAAAAATCACCTTATCTTCCTGCCTCGCTTGGCGTCCACGAATGGCACGCTGGAGCGGAGTCATACACACAGGGCTGTGTTGATCGGCCGCATGATTTTGGCACTCGAGAGAGGACATTCCTGCGTATGCCAAGGGAAGAAGGAAATGGAACCAGCATCTGCGATTTGCTTAAGCTACATAAGAATGCTTATCGTAACAACCATCTTCCATCATGTTTGAAAAGCGTAGCTCACAACGGTGTGTTGTTGGTACAGAGGCGAAACTAATCAAATAAATGTTCGGCATGCAAATGTCATTGTACATCTATTCCTTCTGTGTAGCGCTATAGACAGAATGCCGATTTTTTAGATGTTAGGATGCGGCTACATCCCTGCACAATGGAAAAGTTAGGTCATCACTCAGGACCTGATTCTGTTCGAACTCTTCAAACCTAGCGGCAATATCTACAAACACCAGAGCACAACTCAACCACTAGATGGCAGGGTAAGGCAGCCGACATAACGTCCCCGAATAGGTGGCGCAGCATGCCACTGAACATCAGGTGGCGCTAGTATCTCCAAACACGTGCAAACCGTTGGCAGACAACAAACCCCTGTGGCTTGTTAGAAGATCATTCATTTTGTTTTTTTTGGGGGGGACTGCTGCTAAATGGCGTGCATCCTCTTCAGACACAATTGCAACTGATACTTCCGAACCAACGGGATTCGGCCACCAACGCTTTTATGGTGTCACATTCATGGAACAGATACACGACGCGAAGGATTTGGAGCTGTTCGGATGGCCGCCACTTAGCCAACAGCTGTGCTACACTGAGGTGATTCTGGACGGGTTAGAACGTTCACCAACAAATGCCGCCACTACGGTAATAAGCGTAAAAACTGTTCCCACCGTTCGTCGCGGTGAGCTGGACATCGCTCCACTGGCCTCGGGGTGGACCCCATGACTATCTTACCGAAAGTTGAATGTGATATCAACCGATTTACCCGCAACGTAACCTAGCATGCCGTGCTACTAAGATTACAGTTGGTCACTCAGCTGCCGTGACCTTAAGTTCGCAAAGGTGATTCACGAGATATATTCAAGGCCGTGTCAGTGCGCCCGCGGCACTGATCCACGGGACAGCGAGCAGAGCTGATAGCCTTGACCAGACGATAACGGTGGTGACAACGCCGACGGGACTGCTAGAGCTCTGGTGACACAGGAGTATCACCGGCACCAGCAGGGACTAGCCAGCACCGGCTGGACTAAGATCAAGTCGAACCCAGCACCAGCACCAACACAGGACTGACCTAGTGCTGACTGTCGGCTGAAGAAGTCCTCTCGCAACGACTGAGTCTCGCTGATGTCGTCCTCGTCCAGCTCGTCCTCGTCCTCCTCCTCCTCCAGCAGGGTGGGCGGCGGCGCCATGTCGTAGCCCCACTGCTTGCGGAACGCCTTGCTGCCGCCGTCCAGTCGGACGCGCGGCAGGTCCAGGAACAGCGAGTCGCCGAGCTGTGCGCACGGGTGGCCGAGTCAGCGGCCGGATGGGGTCACGGCGAGCCTGAACAGCTGGCCTGGGGCCGGTCAAAGCGAGAGTACAGGAAGTTCAGCGGGTTGAGGGGACGAACTCGGGACCCCACGGACCAGGAGCCCATATGTTGAACGGTACGGGTAGGTACTCGCAGCAACCAGCACATCACCCGATGGCAACAATCAGTCCACAGGAATGCAGCGCGTTATGGTTGAATGCATCATATGGCCGCCAGGCGACGGCTGAAGGTGAACTGCTTGTGGTGTAACGCTGGTGATCAGGGGGTGAATGTATCGTGAAGACAGGCGCGAATGCTGGTTCGCTGATCGTACAATCCCCCGCCGGTGTACACTGTCACGAGGCATGCCGCATAATGGGCGGTGTGACGCGTCCGCTGTCTCGTGCGGTAGAACGAGCACGAGAACATTTGTGGGCTTTTCAGACAAGAATGCCAGCATTTTCACGGCAGTGCCATGACAAATAGAGATTAAGTCGCAAACTCTCAAGATGAAACTGATGATACAAATTCTAGGTTATTAGTTAGTTAAATATACATGAAATTCTTCGGTGCTATAGACAGCTGTATACATGTATATCATATATATATATATATATATATATATATATATATATATATATATATATGCATGCATATTATCATATAAAAAATTGTAATCAAACAAACATGCACCTCATCGTCTTTCAGCCCATACTCTAACTCTGGCATGGATGTAGCAGTGCCGGTGGGTTGTTTGTGTGAGCGACGCAAGACCTCAAAATCTGCGTCGTCCCAGGTACACGAACTGTTATTTGAGGCAGGTTAAGTGGCACAGCTGTGTCCAATCCTCTTACCACCACAAAGGAGCTGCACTGAGGTGACAGTGATATGCAGGAGGGAGGAGACGCCAGCGTGCACACACGTGCGCCACCAGCGGCGCGGATCCACACACCCTGCCCCGCGTCTGTCCGCTGGGACCGTCCCGCTGACGCCGGCCGTGACCACGGCACCTCCACCGGCTTCAGATCTGCACAGTACCTCCCAGAAGTATGAAGCCGGGCCTCATCCATGCGCCACATCCGTTCACGTGGTTTGATACGTTTCAGCACATAGCAGACCGATGCAGGCTGGCCGTGTGAGGGCACATCTCTCACATCTCTCCGGACATGCAGCACATGTACTGTGCTACACACACGACGAGCGCGCGAAGCCCGCTAGTGCGCTACATGCATGCGAACATCGAAACAAAAGGTGTAGCATCCATTCCAACATACCACTTAGCACAACCAGCACTGATTCGCGGATGGCAGGGAGGACATGCCGCAATGACGTAAGCGTTGCGTTCAGTATGCGAGTCCGATAGTGGTATAGAGACAGCCAACATGCTGCAGCCATTTCCAAATCATTGACACCGACGTCGGGGTCTCCTCCAGAGCCCAGCATCTCGCATGTTGAAATAAAAACTTGCACCACACCCGTATCGACGTCGACCTTCGATCCACAGATGCCGTACATTTTACGCTGCAAAGGCATTTGTCAACACCGCAGCGCTCGCGGGCCGGCGAGAGCAGTCGCGCCGTAATCCTGAGATAAGCCTAACACAAGCGGACGTGGGCACACGGGCCGCTCCGCTCGCCGTGGTAAATGCCGGTTCGGTCCGACAAAGGCGCCCTGACGACGACGGCGTGACTGCGATACCGGTGCTGACACCGAGGCTCGACCACACGCGCGACTCAGCCGTCCCGGCCGGCGGCGGGACGGCTGACGTCTGACGGCGCCGCTCGACCGACGCGGCGGTCACCGCGCCCGGGACCGAAGCCGGGACCGCGGCCGGGACCACGGCCGGGACCGCGGCCCCCGGGATCGGAGCCGGGAACGCAGCCGGGACCGCAGCCGGGATGCCGCACCCGGGACCGAAGCCGGGAACGCAGCCGGGACCGCAGCCGGAACCGCAGCCGCAGCCGCCGCCGTTGAGGAGCGCGCCGCGCCCTGTAACCGCCCGCTGCAGCGCCACGCGCGCGCGTGAGCCGACCGCGCACTGCAGCCGCGGCCGAGCCGGGGTCGCCCTCTGCACGGTGCAGACGGTGCACAGGCGACGGCGGCGGGCCCGGCCGCCCGGCCGGCGTAGGCTCGCACCGTTACAGGTCAGCCAGCCGAGCCGGTGCCGCCGGCCGGGGGCCGCGGGACGTACAGGAAATGGATCCGCCGAGGGGAGGTGGCCGGTTCAGACGGACGGCGTTTTCGGCTCTCGTGAACAAACGACTGATCGGCGATTCGCGTGCCTCAATTAAAAATCACTTTTTGTATTGTCGCATCGCCAACCCGAGAGGAGCGGAGGAATGACACGCGATCCATTGAGGTCACGGCGCGGTGAGGGATCCTGCCGACCATCCCGGCAAGAAACTGTACCGGTCGCCGTGGCATTAGCTTTCCTTTTGCGAAGCGGCAACGCACCAGCTGCCAGAAAACCCAGGCTAATTCTAACGAGGCGTTACCTCTATAGTGTTTTCTGTCATTCACTCACAGCCAAAGGCGGGGATCTTAGACACACCAGAAGCGTAGAAACTGAATCAGTCAGAAACCAGGAGCACCGAGCGCACACCTTCTGCAGAATCAATCACCCGCTCTCCGTTGTACAGCCTGTGTGCGACGTTCACTCTTTATCGCGCTCGGGTCACACCGGTCAGCTGATTATTCACCGGCGCGGCGGGGTGCGGCGCGCGTGAGAACGCCGCCGTCCGTCGGCCCGGCTCCCACGCTCCGGCGCAAATCACGCGGGCCTGGCCGGACCGATCCGCCGAAAACGGGCCTATACTCGGGAACACCGAGCGCACGGAGCTGTTCCGCTGTGGTTCCTTATCCGTCCGGGTCAACATGCGGCCGCGCCAGTCGCTGCGTGCGTTGTGAGTCAGTGACATTGAGCGTGGTGCAAAAGGTCAAGTTCACTTCGCGTTCAGAAACGCGATGTCCCGCAGTGTGGGAGGGAAACGTCGGGTGTCCGCATTTGAGCACAAAACACAGGAAGTCGTGTGCAGCTTGGGTCGAATGGGACCGAAAAAACGCCGTAATGACCATTGGTGTTGAACAATGGCCGGTGCTGACAGTGCCCACAGTGCGCCAGGTCATCGTTCATTTCCAATGGCCAAAGAGCATACGACCGGCGTGCTGATAAAACATGACGTCAAGTCGCAGCCCATCAGTGCTCCATCAAGTAGGAGGACGTGTTTGGAGCCGGAGCGAGCTGCGTGGGTGTCTCAACACTAGATCCATAAACAGTCGACAAGCAGAGCGAGTGGCCGCAGCCCTATAAAACATATAAGCGTTCTGAGCGCGTTAATTTATGCAGCGTGCCTTGTCATGCTCATGACGGCAGCAAAGTGCCTAGATCGTGAGAGCAAAGTACCATTTCCACACTTGCCGTCTAGAAATAAAGTCATAGACCATCCCGGTCTGTGATTATGATAGGGGAAGTTCGCACCATGAGGAAAAAGTCCAACGACGCCACGTCATTCATCCGCAAAAAGATCTTGACGCAAGCCCGGTTCGGAGGTCTCCTTTCCTCGCTGCGCAGTACGTTGCGGTTTCCAAGCCCCGTCCGCCCGCCTCCGTGGCTGCCGAGCGGCGGCAGCAGCCAGCGAGCTTCCCTGAACTCCACCCCGCTGACCCGGCTGGAAGTCCTGCCAGCGAGCCTCCCCTTACCCTGCATGGAAGTCCTCCCAGCGACCCTCCCCTGAACCCGCTGGAAAGTCCTGGGCCCCCCCCCCAGCGATCCTCCCCCCGACCCGGCTGCAAGTCCTGCCAGCGAGCCTCCCCTGACCCTGCCGGAAGTAACTGCCAGCGAGCCTCCCTGACGCCGGCTGAAGTACTGCCAGCGGCCTCTCCCTGACCAACGGCTGGAAAGTCCTGCCAGCGATCTCCCCCTGACCGACTAGAAGTACTGCCAGCGAGCCTCCCCGACCCGGCTGGAAGTCCCGCCAGTGAGCCTCCCCCTGACCAGCTGGAATCCTGCCAGCGATCCTCCCCCCGACCCGGCTAGAACTGCGCCAGCGAGCCTCCCCTGACCCGCTGAAGTCGAGCACCTCCGGGGTCGGGCTCTCGCTCGTAACGGCTGATTGTTTTGCAGGTGGCCGCCATTGTCCGCGAGAGAATGGGCGTCGTTGTATAACCCGAGACCGCTTCCTGTCGGCGCCGACATGAGCGTCGGTAGCCCTCTATAAAACGGCCGATTACAAACGGCCGTTGGACTGCGACGGCGGCGGCGCGGCCGGGAACGCTCGGTTTCTGTCACGGCCCGGTGGGGGCGGACAGAAGATGATGACGGTCTCGGTAAACAACGCACAAATGGCGATGGTGTCCCGAGGTGTAACAGATCGACAACCTCCAGCTGAGGTCCGGACCGGTATGCGCTGCAGAGCGTCTGCCATCGAGGGGTCAAAGAGGATGTTCTGTGCAAATAAGCGGCAACAACTCATGGCGCGTACATGACGTTGGCTTGTAGCTAGCAGAAGTTTCAACCCGGTGGCGGTTGACCGCCGCTGGTCAGACGGGTGCACGCCGCCGTGAGGCTGAACAGGCAGCATTTCTGGGCCTCGCACAGGCGATAACGGCCTGGCAGGGGAGGCTACCAGACGGGGGAGAGACGGCACATTAACCCTTTCCGAGAACCGTCCGCAGGCGTCCCAAGCCGAGCCGAGCCAAGCCGAAACGGTGGGCACGGCTGGGCCCGCCCGGGCGGTGGAGCTCCCACGCGCCGGCCGGGGCACACCTGTTTATCGCTGGCGTGACCCTCTGGGAAGGTGTCGTTTACTGGTTCACGCCACCGCAGTGGTCTATTAACCCGCCCCCGAACCATGGGTCCAGTGAGGGCAGGGCGGCGGCGCCTGGCTCCTGTCACTCGCCAACAAAACAAAACCGCTCGGCGGACATCTTGGGCCAGTCAAAGAACAGTGGCGCAAAGTTTCAAAGCATGGCGCCTTAAGTCAC